GAGGGGCATGGCTTGGGGGAGGGGGCACCGTCCTGCCTCCTCCCTGGGGGACTGGGGGCAGCAGCCCTTGCTCCCAGGTGGCTTCTGTGGTGACACCCCCACCGTGTCTGTGAGGCAGAGCAGCACAGGCTTCCCTCTGTGGGGTTCCTAGGGGCCCTGGCCAGGTTTGCCCTGTGGAGCCTGTTTGCTACCCTGGGGGTGCCAGCCCTCCTGCCTGCAAATCGCTATGGGAAACCTAAACCCTTCCCCAGGGAGGAAGAAGGAACTGGCAGAAAGCGTTCCCTGTTCACCCAGTGTGTAGGCTGCAAAGTCTTGCCCCTCTGATGCAACCTTGTGTTAGTTAAGGTTTCAGACCAGGCGCATACCTCGCTTTATGCTGTACATACGTTCCTGGAAAACGGCGCATAACTCAAATTTGCATAAAGGGAACCTACTTTACAGTGTAACAAATAGGGATACGTTCCAAGACCAACTGTACTGACCCCCAGACCCATTTCTACCACTTTTACAGGACAATTTTGGTACTCACCAACAGCAGACAGTACACACAACCACAGAGCACTATCATAATGGGGATGGCAACTGCAGAAACACGTCGCAGACAACAAGCGAGGAGCGCAGATCCACACAGGAGACTATATTTTGGTGTGTGTCACTCCCGCAATGCACCTGATAGCAGCTGACTGCAGGCTTCCACCACACCGATCAGATAAGAGTGAATTTACCTTGCATATAATGAATTTTTGTATAAAAAGGGTCATCGCATAAGAGCGAATTCGCACATAGAGAACCCACATAAAGTGAGGGAAACCTGTACACACTACACGTCCACAGGAGATGCTTACAGTGCAGTAACTTGTTACTACTGTGTAGTAGTCATAGGGCACAAACTGTGACACAGCACTACTGCGGGCATACCTACACACGCATTTACACTGACTTAAATTTACTGTGCGGTAAGCGGGAATAGGCTGGCATCTAGACATGCAGGTGTTAAAGCCCAAGTTTAGTCCCAACTCAGTCCACACACACGGTGTTACTGTGCAGTAAGGTGTCCAAACATGCATTACTGCACAGTAACTAATCAGGTGTAAATTTGATACCCGCATCACGCAGTCATCAAATTTATGCCCAAGTCAGCATAAGTCCCCAGATTTACTGCGCAGTATGGGCATGCACATGTAGACGCGTGACCGTACTGCGCAGTAATCAAAATTACTGTGCATATGAAGACACACCCACTGGTCACATCTACATAAGGCGCTTATTGCACAGTAGCTCATTACTGCCAAGCAGTAGTGTCACAGGGCAGTCAACGTCACCACAAAGCCAAGCGGGGGTGCTACTCAGGGTTCGAATTACACTTTGACTCTTGTGTGGGGTCTGGAAAAAAAATTGGGCTGCCCATCAGATGCCCTAATAAAATTGAAGACCCCCCCAGGTCATGATTTTCAAGTCTTACAGGGGGGGCTCTCGTCTCTTATAGGGGGCCCCCCAACTCCCCCATAATTCAAACCCTGACGCTACTGTGCAGTAGTTCCGGTTACTGCACAGTCAGTTTCTTGTGTAGATGCACCCACTGTGACTGCAGGTGTATCTAAGCTTGTATACCACAAGCAATGCAGCAGAACAGCCCACTCAAAGTAATTCACCCTGCTTTCACATCCAGACATCCAGGTATATCTACCTTGTATAGGTGGCAACAGCACCAGTCCCTCAATGCTCATCCAGTACAGAAGGAAGTCACTGGTGAGTCAAAAGACAGCTAAAGAGACCAATCTGAGATCCACATGTGTACACTGCATGGTACCGTGTGTAGAGATTGCAGAGACACTCAAACTATCTCTCAACAAATTCTGCTGAGAGATCAAATTAAATTACCCAGAGTACTACGTTTACCAGGGCTCACTTGGCTACCTCTGAATAGCATTGCATCGTGCGGTGTAGATATATCTGGATGTCTTGAAACAGAAGCTACTGCAGATGTTTGAAGACTTAACCAGAGGCAGACTGGAGGCTTGGACTCCATGAAACAGGCTGAAGACTTGGTTGCTATGGGGATCTGTCTGTTGGTCCCTGGTCACCATAAATCATTCCTAAAATGCTGTCCCTACTTTACTCATTCTAGCTTTCTCTTTCATGCCTTAACTATTTTGTAATATTTTCCTGTTTCTCCTGAATCAAGGGATTGAAAAGGAAAAATACATTACTGGTAATAATCGCCTGAGACATGCTTTTCATTATTTCACCCATCAGCAGCTCTTCTAACAGAAGACTGTTTGAGATCCTCAGCCAGAAGGAGCAAACCACCAAGCCCCAAACTGTTGCCTGCTGTGGTCATACCATCAGGTACCAAATACATTTACTAGTCCTCCACCTGCCAGATCCAAAAACCAAATCCTACACAGGCTGAAGAAGCTGTTCTATCCTTATCCTATCATAATCTTACATACCTGCTACCCCTTGTTGCAAACATCCTAGCATCATGGTTAGTGGAAACAGATTGCACTATTTAGGAAAATCATATGTTGAATCACTATCCAAACTATCCTGAAAAAATTGGGAGGACAAATGTGTAGAAGGGACAGTCTTGGAAGGAAGCAAAATTCAGTTTCCATGGCCATTCAGTGTTGGCCTTTTTATTGGGACTTCACAAGTGTGCATGTTATAGTGATGGTTACACGGTCTCCAAAATTTAAGAAATAGACTGATACTTAAATCCAACTTCTTCTGATAATTCAGTCCACAGACAGCAGTCCTCCACAGATCTTGTTTCTGTCCCTTTAAAATTTCACTCTGTTCCACTGCCCCAAGGACTATAGGTTTTTGGGTAGTTCATAAATGAAGAGGTGATTTGTCCCAGAACACTCTCAACAGTTAGGACTAATGCTTTGA